AGAATGTACATTGTTATCCGATAAAGATATCAACTACTACACGGCTCGGATGGTGGTCAAGATATTAAGGAGCTTAAGCGACAACGACGGAGACGGCTACGAAAAAGTGAAGTCGCGCTGCTTCAAACTTTATTGCGCTTATTCCATCTTGTTCAGTCTGTCAAATTTTGGCAATTTTTTCTGGAGTTGAATTTTAAAAGACTGTATCAAAGTTCAGGAAAAGAAAAATAAAGTCTTTGACTTCTGTTTACGTTCTTCACAAAACGTGAAATTATTGAGGTTTTCACGTCGTTGTCGTGCAGTGACGGTAAAGAAATTTATAAAAAGCTTGATGCACTTGCGGAGTTGTTGTTTTGCCAATCTAAACTTATTGCTTTTTTTGCCGTTCTCGTTGATGTCGTTCGTTGTTGCTTAAAGACCAGCTAGGTTTCTTGGCCTCGTGGAGTTCCTTAATGCAAGGCTTGTTGACCTGGCCCTTTCGCTAGACTTCGTGAGGATCTGGGAGACACGATTATCTAGAATATATATTTTCCCCTTGGCTTTTGTGCTTTTTGTTTTGTATGTCACGTGCGGTTTTTCCAGAAAGTAACATTTTCGTGAACTTGAAATTGTTGACTCTACTGCACTAAGTGATTTTGTAGCTCAGAAGGATTCTAAAACCTGAATGTAGTCGTGGAAAGCGACTGTACCTCTAATGTTGGCAAAAAGAGTTGACTCATCTCAGAAAAACGAACAGGCGAAAAGATTGCTAAACTGAAAAGTGAGGGAATTAGACAAAATTTATATTTTGTTAGGGTCTAAAACTACGCATTTTGCTGCGCGTAACGGCGGATTCATAAGCACTTTTTGAAAACTGTCACAACAAATCTAATATTTATTACCATCGAAATGAATTTTTTCTGTTGCTTTTTATTCCCTACTTCGTACTGGAAGGGTGCTGGCGATAGGTGAGAAGGAATGTGGGAAATTTTCAGCATTACTTCACAGCAAAACATCTAATATATATAAAGAGGACACTGAATTACTTGTGCTGAAGAGAGGCCGGAAAGTGTAAACCGTACTATCTATCATAACTTAAGAATATCAAAGGTTTGATGCATAACAAAGAAGTTAACTGTGAGTTTATACACTTCAGAAAATGTGTTCATTTGATCCAATATGTCGTGGGAATTACGTCATTTCTTTAAATTGCTGCCACCTTATGGATCAACCATCTGGTATAAATTTTTAGATACCACTGGTAGCAAAAACTGGCTTCCATAACAAAGTCATAAATCACAAACAAAACTCTGTTTAATTGAATGTTGCCGTACAGGTATGAAAGTTTGAGAAAAAACCTACGCGAATTGATGCCGGGGTCTGCTCGGAATCCAGAGTGGGTACACCCTAGCACACTCCTTACTTCCCCGGCCTAAATGGAGCTTAAAAGCTTGGTTAAATTTCCCAGCTGATCGTGAAGCATGATCGAGGTGTTGAGACAGGAGTGACCAAGAAACAATTCCAGATAATGGTCGCATCGAGCGGAACTCGAACCCGATCGTAGAAAAAATAAAATCATCCAAGGACTGTGTAAGAGCCGCCAACAGCCAGGTTTACTTTCTTTCAATACACAAGTACATGTAATTACGACCAGTCTAGAGACACCTGCCTCACCAGTCCTCTATGATTAGTAGAATTATAGACAGTTCAATTTAATTTTAACAAATTAAAAATATCCCTGGTCAGAGATTAAAGATTAAACAACATCTCTCATGCTCAGTCTCAGTCTCTTTATTCAGTTGACTCATGCACGCCATGTCAAAACATTTTTTATTTCTAGAAAGTCCAAACAGTGCAGTGTCAGTGTTTTGTTTAAAGCACGAGGCCACCGGTCGCCACCTTTATTTGTTTGCCTTTTGATGAGTGTTAGGTTCCTTTTCGTTATTGTTTCATTTATTTTCAATTTTAAAATGAACTTGTCATATTTTCGTGAGTTTAACGTGCAATATGAATGTTGCTATAAAACTGCTTGTAAGGTGTGAAGGATGAAAACAACATTTCAGAGCGTTAATTTTCAAGAATTTCTGACTGAATGCAGGCTTGTTTACCACTTAAGTGGCCCTGTCTTGTCTTCATCGCTCGCTAACCGCCTGACGACGTCAAAATAACATTCACTGCTTCTCTGACTGGTCACTGGGCGGACCGAACAATTAACAATTATTCCTCGAGCCCGACTGGGCTCTGAGTCAAAAATGGGCTATTGACTCAGAGGCCATGAGGGCGGGAGGAATAACTGTTTTAGTAAAATCCAACTAGTTGGTCAAAAATATCGAGACAAGACAACTTAAGCTAGCCAAACGCGATTCAGCCGCCATTGTTTTGGATTTCAAAGCAGGTGCTTTTCGCTACTCAGTGGGCTATAACATATAGCCTAATATTAGCTCAACCAATCAGAACACAACATTGATAATATACCACTAGTTGGATTTTACAAATACAGAATACACCATGCCAAACCCGTTTTGCATGTTGAGGAAAAAAGACAATCACGAAAGCAACGCCAAGGAAAACGTTCATTTTCTTTACATTCCAAGCAATCCGTGTTGATTTGAATTACCGTGCAATTGTAAAAAAATCCTCAAGGCAGGGATGATCCCAGCCTGTTGTGTCTACTTTAAATCGGTTGAAACATTGTCTCACTTAGGGCGGAGCTTTTGGAAGCGGGCGAGCTGCTAATAATTTTCCCGCGCTGATGAAAGATGTCCAGCAGCCATGGAGAGTACAGAGGATAAAGAGCTAAACCGAGCATTTTTATTCTATGCACGTTTTCATTGTTGAAAGTCCTTTGGCCTTTCGTTTTCATTTATCTCATTAAACTAATTTGAACTTTATTTCATCTCAAAAACTATTTGTAGGCTAAGCAAAACAGCGTCGCAAAAAAATTATTTGATCAAGAATCGGAAGATAAGCCGAAGAAATAAGTTTATATTTATTCTTGGATATGAAAAGCTATCTTTCGTTTCTCTATTTTCGCTTGCTCCTATAAATTTCTCGTTATCATTTCACTTCGAAATATTTTATATAATTTAATTTTTGGATTTGGAAGCTTATCAAACTAATCGGACAGGCTGTTGAATTTGGCCTCTAAATTTGGTAGAATGTCAACAAACTACTGTTTCAAATCTTTTTATCAATAAAGAAATATCATTTTAATGGTTCATTTGAAAATGAACTAAACGAGAAATTACTTGCACGTTATACAGTAGTATTCTTTCCGATTCAAAGTAATATTTTTTATCTTTGATAACAGAAACCAGATTAGTGCCGATCTTTAAGCGAAGGATATTCACGCGTACCCTGCGAACAGAGTCTCCTTCGATCTTCCTAAGATAAGTCGGGAAGAGGAAGGAACTCTTTCCCGACTTATCAAGGAAAGATCGAAGCGACTCTGCTAGCAGGGTACTAGCGGTGTATGACGTTTGTAGACTGCAGACCGCAGACCGCAGACCGCAGACCACAGACCACAGACCACAGACCGCAGACCACAGACCGCAGTCCGCGGACTGCAGACCGCAGACTGCAGACCGCAAGGCAGCAAGACTGTTAATTAAATGAAACCAAAAATATCGTAATAAAGGTGGCGTCATCATCAACATTACCTTGTTCCGAGAAGTAAGGCCTAGAAGCGAAGTTTATATTTTTCACGCAAATTACACCGACCTCATTCCTCAAGGAGCTGTGGGCTGTTCTTTTCGAATTGAATTAGAGCAGAATAATGTCTGCCGATGTCACAAACTTGCTCATGAATCCATAGCAACAGTCTAGCAATTTAGCCTACACCACAGACGAAATCAAACTATGGTTATATAAGTCTGTCTGTGAAACAGCGCCGGAATCCTTATTTTATGGGGGCCTCACCTGTGTACTTAAGGACTTGAGTATGAGCAATGATTTGCCTATTTAGAACTTCAAATTGCACTTCTGGTAATTCGTCGAGTCCAGGTAAGATCTGTTCGTTTTAGATTATTTGGCATATTCCTTAATACTGCTAAGATGAAATACGTCATTTAAAAGGTGTTAAATGTCCTTGATCCATCCTAGTTGTTTTTGTCGACGTAACTGTAGTGAGCACGAAGTGCTCGCAGTCTAAAACCTTTTTACAGAAGACTACTATTTAGACAGGCATCAGTGGGCATTGCTACTTGTTATTATCAATTCACAATAATCCGGTGAGTTGAGAAAGAGTCGGTGAAGAATAGCCAACAGCATCTTGGGAATGAGGCCAATGTATCTTTGCGCAAAAATATCAACCTTGTTCCCAGGCTACTTTCTCAATTTCACACGATGTTATATTTTTGATGACGTCACCTTTATTAGGAAGATTTTTAGTGTCATTTAATTTATAATCTGCAATCTGTGATCTGCAGTCTGCAGTCTGCAAATGTCACACACCGGGGTAATTCACGCGCAAAGTTATCTATAGATTATTTCATTTGAACGTGGCAACTTTTCAAAAATGCTGACGCATGCGCACTCCGAGATTGTCTAGGCGTCTCCCGGCCGTTCGTCTCGGATACGTCACCAAAATGCATTGACCGAGAGGGCCTGAAAAGACGCCGTACAGGGACTAGGCAATGTTCGTTCCAGTAGTGTGCACGTGGATGCCATCTCGTACGTTTTAAAGCCGCAAAACTTCGATGGTTGTTTTATGTCTAGTATTTATACGTTATTTTTGCTTTGATACCTAACATTATCATCATTTTTGTGAGGGCTGAGGACAAACTTGACAAAGAAAAATTCCTCTGTTCAAAATACCCTGAAGGTGTTTTTTAAGCCTAACCCCACCTCTCTTGCTACGTTTGCTAAATACTGCAGAGGATTCTGATCAGTCTCTAGAATACAAAGCGTTAGTATCCAGGTTGGCATATCGCATGACCATAGATCTATTCGATGTTCTCAACATGATAGATATTGCCCTTGACGAAAGGAGAGACGGACATGAGGCATTGCCCAATTTATAAAATTCTAAATGGTATAGTTTATTAACAGTTTTCCTCCCAGCACTTGGTGCGTGGTCTTTGCTGTTATGTTTACAGAAAGCCACACTTCTTTGGCTGTTATTAGTCTGGATTTTCTATATTGTTGCCTTGATAGTGAACATCGGGATCATTTTTGGATTGCTTGGAGACAAACTTGGCACCAAGAAGTTCCCGAGTTTAGGTCTCTTAAAGGGACTTCTATGCCTCACGCCTCCTCTGTTATTATTGTTGCTACACAATGCAGATGACCTGGATCGATCTCAAGAACGCAAAGATTTGGTGTTCAAGCTGTCTTTTCAAATGGCCATCGATCTGTTCGATGTTATTGACATGATTGACATTGTTTTGGATGACATAGGTCGTGCGAATGAACCTCAGAGCCTACCTGCAGATGTTATAGCCACATTAAACAAAACCCTTAAGGAGACTCTACCAAGCTTCACACTCAACACCACAGGTATATTAACCTCGGAATTGAACAAAAGCCTTGCAATACTTCCAGTATTCGGTAGAGTGATGATAGGAGTCGCATGTTTCAGTCTCATGTTGTCTATATGGCAATGGGCTGAAAACAAGCACTCCACGAATGACACGGGTATTCAATTTCGAACAGAAGTTCCACCCAACGTTCTAGAGGTGATCTTCGTCAATTTCTTTTTCTTGATCATCCTGGAGTGGTTTTTTTTTTTAAAGTACGGCCAAGACGACTTTGTTTTTATAGCCAAGAATTTCATCGTAATTTTGGAAATTCACGCTCTTTGTCAATCGCATTCAACCACGTTTGTAAGTCTATGCAAAGGGGAGGAATGGCGAAAATGTTCTGCGCGACTCAGAGAGTTCAAAGGGCGACTGAAACGATTTATAACTCGCAGATAATGATTTAACCGAATCACAATTATATTATAAGAATTAATAAGTGTAGAAAAAAACACTTCCCGGCGCCGTTCAAACATTATTTTGGTATAACATCAAGTGATGATTACAAACTTTCATACTCCATAATGGTAATAAAAATCAATTATTTTGGTTCAGTTTTATTACTGTTGTTCACTTTAGATAACGTAGTATGTTGATTCGCTGTCTATGATTATATTTGGAAGTATTCTGGCTGGTGGTTTAAACTAGAAAAATGATACTCCCGCCTACTTCAAGAACATATATGCATTCTGCAAGAAAAAATAGAGAAAATCTATACTAACCATTTTTGTTATTTGCCATCTTCCAGTTCTTCTCTTTTGAACGGAACGCTATTGATTATACTTAAGCTGAAACTACGGTGGGATTCAGCGTACACTGAAGACGTGCGAGACTACTTCTTTAGTTGTGATGATACTGCCAACATAATTTCAGAGTGGACATTATTTCAGCTTATTGTCTCAGCCTTGATTTCATCATAGCCTGATCGATTTTCTACCGCCAAATTAAAATGCACAATAAAGACCTCGTGAGTTCCATAATTTGATAAACTGATTAATTTTTTGCCGTGGGAAAAAACTAATGGCTTTGAAATAAAGGAAAACTAAAGTATCTGTACTCCATATAAGTTGAAAGGAGAGTTTTGAGTTGATATTTTGTCGTCCGAGATGCTTGAAATTTGACGTCAGTTGAGGAAAATGCACTAATTTGTTGTTTGTTATTGTTGTTATTTATTTTTTCTTTCCTAGATGGGGACGATTTCTTACTACATGTTTAAGATAAACGTTTTGGAGTGTATATTTTCTCTGTTTTCATTCAGTAGCTACCCTATCATAATGATGAACAGCATATATACGTGCGTGGGTATCCTGGGGTCTTTCGTAAGCTGATATTCTCAATCTGAAAATGAAAGGTCGGAGACATTCGTGATGGGGAAAATCTGTGCAAATTTTAATTGCTCTGTAAGCATGCTAATTAATGACAGTAAGAGAAAAGAGTTGCCGAATCAGTTTTGGTAAATCGCCTCCAGAGCATCTCTGACAAAAAGGGTCAAAATCAGTCAAGGGAGAGTGTGACGTTTTCATTTCTGACTCAATGAATCCGATCGAAATGGCGGGGAAACCCCCAAAAACATTACATCACTGATATCGATAACATGAAATTTTTCACGGAAAGATAATATTTCTAGGAAAAGCTTCAGCTCTTCCGGGAAAGTCCATTTCAGTTTATTTACATCTGGATTACATCTTTGCAAAATAAAATTATTTCGTTGAAGAATTTTAATATATTAGTGTAATCTACTTATGCTATCAGCAAGGGTACGCTGGTCGCTGATATACAATGTAACTCCATCTCGTCCCTGCATGTTCATATCAACCTTTCTTTACACGCAGACATCCTCGATCCTCGATGCTGGGAAAATACCCATGACTTTAATTATATCAAACTTGCTCGATGTAGTAGCGATTTGGCGCTTCCTTATTGGTCAGTCACTATAAGAGCCTCCTTTGATCAGCAAGCACATTTCGCTTGCGAAGGTTGTCAATTTCTAGTGATGGCGTCGCTTTGGGTGCCCGTAGGCCGTGTGGTATTTGTTGTTCTCCTGCTTAGCCAAGGGGGATTTTTTGTCGCTTATTCCATCGAATATAAGGTTGCAGCTTGGGCACCGACAGTACAAGGTGTTTTATTTGCTATAACAGCGATCGTGTGGTTTGCTCTCATCTGCAAGAAGCCGAAACTTAGTTGTCTGTTTTATGTCTGGGTTTCATACGTTATTACCCTTGTCGTGAACATTGGAATCTTATTTGGAACTATCGGAGACAAACTCGACAGCGAAACATTCCTTGGCCCTAATGTCCTGAAGGGAGTTCTGTGCGTTACACCTCCTCTGTTGCTGTTGTTGTTACACAATGCTGACGATTTAGATCGCTCTGATGAGCGCAAAGATCTAGTGTCTAAGCTTTCCTACCAAATGGCCATCGATCTTTTCGACGTTGTAGATATGATAGATATCGTCTTGGAAGACAAAAGACACGGGAGTGCGAATTGCTCATGTGCAAATGTTACAGTAAATGAAACCCAACCGACAGTTGCAACGTCAAGCCTCAACACAATTCCTGAAAGTTTCGGAATAGTCATGATTACAGTGGCATCTCTCAGTCTACTTATGTCACTTTGGCAATTGTTTGAGAACAAGCTATCACGACATGACACAAAGATTCGCTTCCGAGCGACAGTTCTTCGCAATTTGGTAGAGATAGCTTTGGTTAATTTCGTCTTCTTGGTCATTCGCTTAGTGGTGTACGCTGAGTACCGCAGAAATGAGTCTATCTTTATTGCAAAGAATATCATATCAATAGTTTTGTCCATTTTGGAAATTAATGCACATTGTGAATCACATTCCGTTAAATTTTGGTCTGAGTTATGTAAAAGTTGTTTTGGACTGAGAGTGGTCTAAAATGGCAAGCAGTGTTTGTTGTCATTATTTACTCAGTGCGAAATCGGTTTAGAGACATAACTTTGTGAAAACTGCTTAGACATTATTTATTATAGTAATTTTTTACTATTGTATCGCTGTATGAAGGTAGACATTCCTGCACCTGTTTTATAGTTGTGACTTAAGTGATATCTAAAGCCGAGGTCAAATACAAGGTAGCGTTGTAAGTTTAAAAAATCTTACAAGTTTTGCTACTATATACTCTTTTACTTCTTTTTAAGGTTTAAATTTAATGTAACATAAGATATATGATTTCATATCTGTCGAGAAATTAAGACTACAAGACTCTTGATGTGTAACTGAATGTGTAATCATGGAAATGATTAAACAGCGTCACCCAAATCGATCACCAAACTACGGTTACACACATTAAGGGCCTGTTTACATGGAGTAGGGGACCCCAGTCTAGTGGGGTTGGTTTCTTTTGTTTTCACGCTCTGGAGGACACAAAACAAACCTACCCCACTAGACCGGTGTCCCCCACTGCATGTAAACAGGGTCTAAGAACTGTTTCTCACAGTGTTCAAATATTCAATTTTAACATGGTGACCCACAGACTAAAAAGGCAGCGATCTCAGTGGGATATAATCAATGAATTTAGTCTTTAGACTTTGTAAACGAATAATAGAAACACTTACAAACTTGTAACCTTGACTTTGCCTGCCAAGAACTATTACGACCGTAAACTATTAATTCGGACAGCGAAAGATTACGCACAAAATTTCAATGTTGTTGATGGGGAGTTCATACTCAACTAAAAGTTAGTATTCAAATGCAATAGTTTATTTGTCGGAATGTTTTTTAAAATTCTTGTCCTGTGAGACACGAGAGATTTTTCTAGAATTATTTCAATTAAATCGTTCAATTCATATGAAGATAGATAGATAGATAGATAGATAGATACAAACTTTATTAAAGTGTCAAAAGCCGTTTTTCCAGAATATTCTTTAATTTCGATCGTTCAATTCATATGAAGAACGGCAATTTTGTTTTTTCTCGAGTGGAAGGCTAAAAAGTTCGAATTCGTTAAACTAACTAAAAGGATGGAAAGGCCGTCATGATTAGATGCAAATTTTGTATCCTACGTAATTCCGGGGAGTCGCTTAACTTAACAGTTGCTCTTATTACGTCACTTACCAAAAGCAATCGGGTTTTTTATTTGTATTTGTTCACATCGGCTTTTCTCGGAAAAGATTACTTCATTGTCTTACGTTTTCTCAGAAAGGGAAGCACTAAAACATGGAATCCGGAATCCGGAATCCGGAAACGGAAACGGAAACAAACGGAAACGGAATACAGAATCAAATATCAATGATAGAAAATTAAAGAATTTCACATTACACAATTTAGTACAATCCAAAGAGAATTTGTCTTAGTTTTCTTGGCAGTTCCCTTAAATATATTCTTATTATTGTGTCTTGATAAGGTTTGCCGTAGTGTGGGTTACTGCACTGTAAGGCCGATGAAAGTAATTTTACGAGTAATTTTTTTTCACGAGTTCATGGGTTGAATAATACAGTTAAATATTACTTTTGTAGCTAATTGTCAAGAATAGTAGTAGTTAGCCTCAGACCACACCACGTGATTGTCCCCAAACTGAATACTTCACACATGACCGACCGGTGACAAAACCACAGTTCCGGTGTTTTAGCAATAAGTTCAACTTTTTCGCCAAGCTGAATACTGATGGAATACTGTAATACCGGTAATTGAGTTTACGTGGACGTCCTTTTTTTGTTGAAGAGGCTTATTAAACATAGCGCATTATTTTGATGTAATCGGTTGCGGAATCAAGCAAATGCATGCACAATTCTCTCCTCTCTTTGGACTCCACAATGCCATGGTTCTCTTGAGTAAGTTGTCTTGATAAATAAAACTGAACACTGTTGAAGACAACCCAGAAAAGACAATAAGAAAAACTTGACGGCGACGCCTTTCAGTTATATAAACGACGCCTACGACGATTCAAACGAAGTCTGTCTCCATATAACTTACCTTTTTTTTAAGGCACTAGTTTTTGTCAGTGACGTTTTTCTCCTCGCTTTGCTGTCCCATGACAATTTACATTCATTGCCGATAGTGGTATCAAGCGTCTTTTCACCGGAATCGACTCCTCTAGTGATACAGCAGTCTCCTCTCCTCTACTCTGCTAATTTATTCATTTGTGTCTTTTTTTTTTTAATCTGTTTATTTATTTTATTGTCATTGCTAATATTTTATTTTCAAATCGATCGCTTGGAACCTTCTTTCACAGATTCCGTATTCCGTTTCCGTTTCCGTGATTCCGTTTCCGTTTCCGGATTCCGGATTCCGGATTTTAGTGCTGCCGGTAAAAGAACATTCTTGAATTATGCTCAAAGTTTATTAGGACGCAATAGCAGTAACTTTGTTATAGGAGCTTCTAGAGGCGAAAATTATCGTAGAAGTTCCTTAAAAGATTATCTTTATCATGGCCTCTTGGTTAGTCTGCACTGGGCGATTCCTTTTCTTTGGCTTGTTAGGCCTTCAGGCCTCCTCGCTAGCTTCGTATCCTGCCGAGTACAAAAACGAAGATGGTTTCTATGGACTAGTCCTCCTGTACGGTCCTGCAATGGTTCTTTGGCTTTATATCATGTGCGATGACAAAAATTTACCATGGTTATTTGCTGTTTGGATATGCTATATCTTTGGTTTCGTGATCTTCATCCTAATCATATTTGGAGGCGACAAACCGTTAGAAGATAAACTCGACAAAGCGAAATTCTTCGGTCCAAACAATCTAAAGATGACACTTTGCCTTGCCCCAGTGATTTTGTTGTTGCTTTTGAGTACTGGAACAGATTCTAACATCTACAGAGATCAAATCTGGCAGATATCCCTACGAATGGCTCTGGATCTCTTCGATGGAGTTGAAATGCTGGAAGTTATCATCGAAGAAAATGAAGTCAGCCATGGCGTTCCAAAGCCCTTTGAAAAAGCCATACTCGCTTTTGTCTGTATCAGTTTTATCTTCTCCCCATTGCAACTGGTTGAGATAAAGTTAAGAAGTTCCAATAGGTGGGGATTTCTACATAGATGTAGAGAAGGTTTGCGAACAGCCCTACAGATCATCTGTGTTAATTGTGTGTTTTTGGGGCTTCGCATGTATCTATGGCGGGGCTACGAAAAAGATGCCTCTATTTTTATTGCTAAAAATGCTATTGTCATTTGCCTTGGCCTTTTCGAGGTATGTTCAATCGGTCAATGTTGTGGTTGTGACGATTACTGAGCAGAATATTGAGTAATCAGTACATAGAATCGGCCAGTGATCGGTATAAACTTGACAATCTTTCTGGGAAAACCATGGAAAAATTTGAAGAAATTATCATGAGCGTTTAATTAGAAGCAAAAATTTTTTAAATAATTTCATTTTTATCTTATACTCTCCACCGAACGTTAGTCTTGGATTTAAGATAGAACTTGACTCGTTTTGGATTCTTTCTTTGAACCAGATGTCTTGACGGTAACCCTTTGCCTAACTCTGCTCCTTTTGTTGCTGTTGCTTAACACATTTGAAACGAAACGTAAAGACAGAGAGTTCTTATTAAAACTGGCCTTCCAAATAACATTAGATCTCTTCGACAGAATTGAAATGCTGCAAGTTATTATTTGGGCGTGGCCCAAATAGAGTAATGGAAACGGTTTGTTTTGACGCAAATGTGCAATGGGCACGCAATACGTACGAACGTAAACAAGGCAAGTAAACAAGCGAAGCGAGGCGAATGTCTGCCATTCGAACGTCTTGTACAAGGCAAGAGGCATGTGGGAAAGAAAGCTCTGCTAGCACACGGCACTTTATCGCACTTTTACGATCTCAAACGTTAATCTGAATCTTCAGTATTTTTGCCTCATCGAAATTTGGAAGTCTGAAGTCCAGGGATGAAATCTATCAAAAATATTTGGAAAATTAACGTCGGGTTTTGGTCACAATAAAATCACAAGCAACGAACCTTGAAACACAGAAACTCACAAAACGGATCGAAATCCACCAATCACAAATCACAAACAATGACCTTTTGAACCCGTTGAAGAAAACGTTCGTCTCCTAAGAG